TATCCATCCATCCACCCCTTATCCATCCCATATCCATCCATCCATCCATCCATCCCTTATCCTTCCATCCATCCATCCATCCATCCATCCATCGATTATCCATCCATCCATCGATCCCTTATCCATCCATCGATCCCTTATCCATCCATCGATCCCTTATCCATCCATCATTCATCCTTTATCCATCCATCCATCCCTTATCAATCCATCCATCCATCCCTTATCCATCCATCCATCCATCCCTTATCCATCCATCCATCCATCTATCTTTCCATCCCATATCCATCCATCCATCCATCCATCCATCCATCCATCCCTCCCTCATCCATAGCACCTTTTCCCAGTATGGTCATGGGGGGGGCTGGATCCTATCCTCCTGGACCGGTCTTTATCCTCTTCTGATGTAAAAATACTGATGGCTCCCTGAACTCTCTCTGGACCTGCGTACGGGGTCAGAGTGGACTCTAAATAGCTCATGACGTTGGGTTGGTTTACAGATTAAAGACTCAGAACTGATGACATACAAGTTATTTCCACTCCTAAAGATGTACACAAGCAGTTTTCTGTGTTCTCATCTCTCCTACTGCCTTATTTCCTGCCTGTTTACTCCATTTTCTGGGATTTAGTCAGTTTAATTAAAGTATGTTCACTTTTAAACGTGCTTGCTGTCTACACGGAGATCCTCAAGAGCCAAACTCTCATGGCACCAATTAGGAAATTTAATTGGACAACATCATTGGCCCAGTTTACTTAGTTTTACTCCTGAGTTCTTGTGTTACTTAAGGGTAAAAAGCAGACCAGGAACTATGGAGCATGTGTGATGAGCACCTTAAAAATAAGTGTAAATAAATCCATTTACGTTGGATGAAAACCTTTTCATGTATTTCAAATCCAGTTTAAGTAAACCAAACATTTGAAAAATTCTGATGTCATTTATCTGAGTTGATTTTCATATAAATTCAATTTGGAAACGGCTCAAAGTTATGTACCAATATCATCTCTGTCTAAACACATAAAGCAAACAGTGAAATGTGCGGGGAGGCCTGCTCTGCATTGCTGGGTTTATCACTTTTATGATGATCGGTGGGTTTTTAAGGGAAGCCTTTATGTGGTTTTGCTTCTCTGATGAAAACGGGTGTTAAAAACTAAATTGCTGACACAAGCTGGTCTCCTTTAGAATTTGGTATTAAACGATAATAAGAAATTCTCTCATCATCTCCTCACAAAGCAAACTGGAATGGAGGCATTTGTATTCCTGTCAGATCCCTGTCAGACTCAAAAGGGTAATCTGCCCCGAGGAATTTCAACCGCGAATCGATCACGTGATCTGATCAGCGGTCGGGGGGGGGTTAAAAACTCGGGAGAAGTGTGTTTTATTGAGCAGCTTCTATTTTAGGACTGAGCTGCTGGAGCGCTTCTCTGGACAGGTGTGGAAATCAGAAGCTATTCTTGTCTCTAACTCTGAGCTTCAGTCTGCTCTGCTGGATGTGTGAAGCTGTTCCTGAGAGCGGAGCTGTGGGGGGGGGGGCGGTGGGCTTAATCAAGGCGGCTTAAAGCGGAGTCTTTACATCAGGAGCATCAGAAGAGAACATTGTCCCTCCAGCAGCAGTGTCTTGCTTTCTCTCGTAGGTTGTCGGGTCAAAATCAAGAATTTTCCAAGTTTCTGAATCCGAATATTTACACATGAAAACGATTAAAAACCAGGAAGGAACAAAGTCTTCCTGGAGGTTTGTCAGGAGGATAAAACAGGTATCCTGTGACTCGTTCAGGCATAAAAAAAGGCCCCTAACTCAAGGGATGAGCCAGTGTTGGGTCCAACTCAGCAAAACAGCACCTTAAAGTGGATTTTTAGGCTCTTTGTTAGCAGCAATCTGGGCTGATGGGTGAAAAATGCCAAAGAAAAGCCAGTCTGACAGAGAGAAAACAGGATTTCTGAGGATTCCCCAAAAAGCTGAAAACTGGTCAGATCTCAGCTGGTGAGCAGAGTCCTGAAAACATCTGGAAACTGGACCAGTGGAGGACAGAAGAAGAAGAAAAACTCAGTAATCCAGCAGATGAAGAGGATCTGAAAGGATCTGAAGGAAGGAAACGGGAGGAAAGGCTGAGCTCTGACCAAATATTGACCTTCAGCGTGTAAATTTCTGCTGACTGGTCGGAGTCTGTAGCTCGGTGCTGCTGAGCCTCCAAGAACTCCCAAACAACCTGTTCACACTCTGCTGCTTTTGTTTATTTTGTGTTGTTTTTTTGCTTTATTTCTCCTTCTTTCTAATACAATAAACCCCCAGGGTCTGAACAGTTTATGCTGATTAGACTGAGCTGGATTATGGCTCATGTGCTTAAATGCTGTTGATATTAAACATGAAATCGTTGTCATGTATTTGAGCTGGACACCAGAGTGTGAGTGACCTCTGACCTCTGGGCTGTGGAGGCTGGAGCTGCAGAGCTGCCAAAAGGCATTTCCTCAAGCTAGCAGCTAGCTAAGTCAGAGTGTGTGTTCTGGGTTTAGTGCAGCGTGTGATGGTTTATGAAAGCCGTTTAGAGCTGGCTGACTGACTAACCCGCTCACACACACACTCACACACACACTCACACACACACTCCTCAGACCTGTTTAGGCTTTTTTTATTCCTTTGTTTCCTTTTGGATTGAAAACAGGGCGACCGGGTTAAAGTGGTGTGCTGCACAAAGGAGCTTGATTCTGAAATTAGACTAGCAGCCTTTTCAAATGGTTCCTTTTTCCAGGTTGCAGTTAGATTTAATATCAGTGGGGCTTTGCCCCCCCCCCACCTTTTCTTTGATAGAAGGAGGACTGTTATATGAACATGCTGCATGTCATTAACACTTTCACCTGAAAATCACTTTA